GGAAGGGGGGGGGGGTTGATGTCTTGCCCCCGTTCATAATATTTTCAAGATTGAAAAACAATGTTAATTTGAAAATAAAGGAAAATGAGATTTTATTTTGAATTAATTCTATAGTTTGTAGGTTGATTTTATTAGGGGACAGTAAACTCTTAATTCAATTTTTCTGTATTTGAACAGAAAAATGAATATCTCCATCATTTATTCTACGATTAAGGTTTAAATAGAACTTTTTCAATGGAAGGTTATCAAAAGTGTAAAAAAAATCGAAAAAAGTATGCAAAAAATTTATTGAAAACTATAACATTTTGAAGTAATAAAAAAATGATAATTAAAGATAGATTTAGTATAATAAAAAATAAATATTTCCGAATCTATTTTTTGTTGCATTTTAGAATTGCTCATTTTAGATAAATATGTTTTTAAATTTTCTAGTCAATCTTAGTCAACTTAGAAGCAGTGGTGCATTTTTGTAAAAAGGGAGGGGGGGAATCTTTTAGAAGCTTTTAAGGCAAATGATATATATGTATATGATAGGACTCCGTAAAAATGTATCCCCCCCCCAAAAAAAAATATCTTATTTTTCCCGAAAAATCCAGATAAGTTTTTTATCAGGTGGGGGGGGGGGAGTGGGGGGAGTTGTTCTTTATTGTCTATATTCTTCTTTTTTATTACCTTTCATTTCAGTGGCAGTATACAGTATACACACTACAGGGGGGCTCAGTATTCAATTTGTTTTAACATATTTGTTTTCTTTACTTTTTTTACAAGGGCCGGAGGGGGGGGGGATTGCGGAATGTGTTGTCTTGTATCATCATTCTTTTAGCTTTTACAAGGCACTTTTTACACAAACCAAAACAACATATATATTTAAATTTATAAAAAAAATCTTTGTTTTATTGATATATTTGTAAATAATTTTAGTCGATTAGATTTCAGCAATTTAGCGTGATTAAATTTGACTTTTCAAATTTGAAATTCTAAAAATTTAAATGATTGTAAATGTAACATTATGAGACCCTCTTTTTAGTGGCGGCAGAGCAGGCAAACTTTAAAATAGTATTTACCCTTTTGTAAAGTTGTGGAGAAAAACCAAAACTGAAAATAATCAATTATCAGTCAGAGAATAAAGAATATATCTTGTATTCACAACCAGAGAGAGGTACCGTCGTGTTTAGAACGTTACATTTGATAAAAGCATATTAAAAATGAAATTCTAAATTTACAATAATGTAAATGTCTTTTTTTAAACTTTTCCTTGAAATATATTTCTATTTGCTTTCTAGTGTGTAACAAGTATTAAGACAATACACAAGAGAAAGCGAACAGAAGACAAATTTGTGTAGCATGATGTATCACTTTGAGTCAAGGGTACGAGGAGACATCATTACGGTTTCCGGAGTAAGGATCAAGTTTAGAAAATAACTTCATCAACCTTCAGATACTTTTGAAACCGTTGAACTAGTTTTCGACTTCGAGCAGCTATATTTGCAAATTTTAATCTTTGTTTTCTAATTTAAAGATTTACAGCTTTTGTTTCTGTTTTTGTGACGTTTAGAGCGACTAAGGCTATGCAAAAAAAAATTGAACTTTTTACTTTGGCAAATGAGCACATGGATATAAAGTTAAAATTAAAACATAAACTAGTGTGGACTTGATCTCAGGAGTGACCCTTCATTAAGAATGGAATGTCACATTAATGGTAACCTTTAATTATCTATCTGAGTAATAATGAGGAAGATATCGTCGTTTCTCTGTCTCAAAACGCGTTGAATACTGACAATTTTTTTCTTTGTCTCTGTAGCTTTAATCTGCAAGTTACTTTGAAAGAAAAACCATTATTGAAAATGATAAAATTCCCGAGACATAAAGAAAGATATATCAGTCATCTGAGTAAGGTTAAAGGAGACAATTGTTAATTGGACAGACCCCTCTATAAATGAGAGGTCACTTGAAATTTCAACGACAGTCTTTTTAACTAGAGAACAATTTGTCCAAAGAACATTACTTTATTACTCCTAAAGTTGAGAGAGAACAATTTGTCCAAAGAACATGACTTTATTACTCATAAAGTTGAGAGAGAACAATTTGTCCGAAGAACATGACTTTATTACTCTTAAAGTTGAGAGAAAACAATTTGTCCAAAGAACATGACTTTATTACTCCTAAAGTTGAGAGAGAACAATTTGTCCAAAGAACAAGTTGAGAGAGAACAATTTGTCCGAAGAACATGACTTTATTACTCATAAAGTTGAGAGAGAACAATTTGTTCAAAGAACAGGACTTTATTACTCCTAAAGTTGAGAAAAATACACTTTTAATGAGCAAAAATTAGCTTTAAATTTGAAGTTGAATGTTAAACTTCTGTAAAAGACCCCCCCCCCACATCCGGTGTTAGGTTTTTCCCCAAAGGCATTTTTCCCCAAGCGGCAACTTCCCAAGAGTATTTGACCAAGAAGCAACTTCCCAAAGGTTAAGTTAGTCATTCTGAGGCTAAGGACTAGGGGCCGGGCGCTGGGGCTTGGACATTCTTGGGAAGTTGCCACTTGAAAAATCGCACATTTGGGAAGTTGTCACTTGGGAAATTAGCCTTGGTAAGTTGCCGCTTGGGAAAATGTCTTTGGGAAAGTATCTAACATTTCCAATCCTTTTTATTATTGTCTTCTCTTGACAATTCGAAAAATGCAATTTCTTTTTCTCACATTTCCTGACTTAATGCAATTTAAAGTGTTCGCAACTTTTATTTATTCTGAAAACTTAATTCGCACACTTTAGTGTTAACGAAATTGTCAAGTATTTTGCAAACGTTTTTTGCAAACTTTAGAAAGCTTAGCTCAGACATGTTGTGCAAAATTAAACAATAAACCAGGACTTTATCAAAATAGGATCTGGCTTGAGCGTAAATTGTATCCAGGTCATGTTGCAAAATAATTTGCAAAATGTGGTTTCCAAGGATTTGCAGAGTATTTGCGAGTAATTTGCAGGCTGCATGAATGCCTTGTTTTACCGGAAAGAATTAAAGTAAAAAACTGCCTGATTCTTGAACTCTGCCTTCAGTAGAAAACAATGCTGTAACTTTACCCCATCCTCCTCCCCTTTCTTTCATCTCGATCCCCCCTTTTCCTCTTTATCCTCTTTCTTTAATCTTTTGAAAACCAGGAATTAGGAATTAAGTTTATCAGGTGAAGGAATATAATTCTAATTAATTAGCAGGAATATGGCTTCATTTTAAACAAAAATTAAATTTCAGACTTAAAATTCTTTTGTTTTTTACAAATATATTAAAGTAACATTTATTAAAATATATTTAGGAAATATTTAGAGAAAATTAAAAAAAAAATATTCAAGAAATTGGAAAAATAAGAAAAAATATTTTTTTGGTTTGGAAAAAACAATGAAGAATTTTTCGTTGCGTGTCTTATTTTTAAATATTTTTTTCCCCTCACATTAGTAAAACAGACCAGCATTAAAGTATCAAACATTATTACAAAAACAATGTTAAACCGAATTTTTAAACCCTTATCTTTAAAAAGTTTCTATAAGTTTGCTTCAATTAACTATTAAACAAAGATGAGTTTTAAATCAAGAAAAAACTGTACTATTTATATTTGTCTAACTCGATTAAAAATTTTGTTTGATTACTATTTTTAACTATTTTATTTCAGTGGATTGAGATGTGATGGCCATGCAGAGAGGATTGTGATTAACGAATAGAGATGTGTGAAACTGAATCAAAAATGTGAGAAAAATCCATAAAATTCACAATGTGGACACATCTGCTATGTGTGATTTTAGTCGTGATATGTTCTAAATCAGAAAAGATCGACATCAACGAGTTCGACTACGACGTGACGACACCAGTGATATACGACGAGTCTGACTATGTCGACTTCAACCTCGACAAGTCTCCGCCGTCGCTTCCCGATCCAGGAAATCCGGGAGAAAAGTTTCGAATGGTAAAATCCATGCGTAACACGACGCGGGATGCGGGAGGATCGCTAAAACTTCGATGCGAAGCGGCCGGAAGCCCACGCGCCACCGCTTGGCAGTGGTTTAAGAATGACGCACCTGTCATTGTTGAGAAAGGTCGTGTACGCATAAAATCCAGTCTTGAGGATTCTCCACAGTGGTCTATGCTCAAGATAAATGTCCTCGAAACTTTAGGAAAATCATATTTTTTTCTAAAAGTCCTTTAATTACTCTTTATACAGTTCCAATCATCGTATTCTCAACAAAAATTAAGAATAAAAAGCAAATTATGAAACTTAAAGGGAGTACATGGGAACACGCAAGACTAACTAGCGCGAGATGCGCACATGAATCTTCTATTTTTAATTGCGTTTTGGTCTTTATATAATTCAACAATCTTTAAACTTACGGAGTTGACTTCACCTATTTTTTTTTCATGGTGTTTGAAAGCTTGGTAGAAGTCCAAATTTGAAATCAAAAGTTGTCTTCCTTGTATTGATTTATATTAAATTTTTCCTCCTTACATTTTCTTGAACACTCCCTTTAAATCTTAATTTATACAGAAGCCAAGAATCACATTTAAATAAATTATCTGAGATGTGTAATTTAAATCATATTTCTAAATAAAGACAAAAAAACCGGAATTGAAAAATATTAACTTTCCAAAAAATGTATATTATACTCAAAACGAGTTGTTACGCTATAAAACGTATTTTTTTTACTGTGTACAACTGTAAAATTCTAATAAAACAAGTGTAAAATCAGTAGAAGGGACATTTTTGTTAATCATTACTTAAATTGTAGAATTCCTGAACAGTTTGTTTGATATTAGTTTCTTTTTTTGAAAGTCTTTGATAAAAGTTTTTAAATTTAAATCAAATTTAAAACTTGCTTTATGAATTTTATTCAAGAAAGCTTAAAATAAGAATATATTTGCCATCATAAGTCTTAGCAATTAGAATTATTTCATTTAAATTTTTGCTTAATCTTTTTTTATTTTTAAAGAAAACGAAAGTGGTAATCTCTGGTTTGTCTGTTTGAATGTCTGATCATAACTTTGGAATCCCTGGATTTGCCTCAAATTTTGATTGGGAAGCTGGTCAAATTGGTTTCATTTCTTTATTTTGAATTATCTGTTCTTGTATCTCTGTCATTGATTTATTTAAAAGTAGAATATATAGTATAGAATACTTACTTGGAATACTTGATGAGTTATCCCCAGGACTCCAGCGGGAATTTCAGTAAGGTCCTCTCGGAGAAGTGATCATGTCCTCTAGATTTACGTCCTCCTTGTGTAACCTCTTGCTCACTAATCTTGGCATAGTAATTCAAGATATCGATTCTCTCTAAAAGGACAGGTTTAATTAGCAAAATATAAACCAAAATAAATTAAGCTAACATTACCATAATCTCTAATCTTAAAAAAAACAGACTTTCGTAATGGCAAGAAAATATGTGTATGTTTGCTACCGCAGGCCGACCAAACTGTAACCAGAAAGTTGTAACATTTATAAAAAATGTTACAATTGCGCCCATGGGTAACAAGTAATAGGTGGCCCATCCCTCAAATAATGGTTTTGATGTGTGAGGTCTATTTTTGTAGAATTTTGGACATTTTTAAAATTAGAAAAAAAGGCCTTTGAGGCATTGGCAACGCCGGGTACATCTGCTAGAAATTAAATAGAACTTGTAATGCAAAAATGTTAAATATGATTGTCTCCAGATACTGCGTATTACAAGTGTGAAGCGTCTAATAATGAAGAAGTAGTAGAATCTACTGCAGTTGTTAGAGTAGCTCTTGGAGCTTTTGGAACTTTACCTAAAAACTTTCCACCAGCTTCGGTTGATTTTACGGGTAAGCTAATTTAACAAATAATTAAAAGTTAGTGTTACAATACATAACTCTCACGGGCAGCCGTAGTACATTTGAATTTCCGTGCCGGGTCAACCTTTCCGGTCCCAGTTTGTATTGTATCGCCCGGACATTGGGTAAATAAAGCAGACCCTCAAAAGGACCAGCCGGTGCAACAAGGTTGACGCGGTCAGACTTTAGGTTGAATTTACTTTACCTAAAGGGTCAGAGGAGCTTGCTCTGTATGATCTGCTATGTCCGTTATATATCTTTATTCTTTCATTATGTTGCATTAAATTCCTATTCATATACAGAGATACCCACAAAAGATGAGACTTCAGAGACAACTGTACAAAATTTATACTGTCCATGTTTCCTCCTAATCATGATTACCTGCAACTGTAGAATTGTTCCTTTCTTTGCCAAATTATTTAATCAGCCATATCAAGACTTTATCTTTTAGACTCAACAGATAAGTGTAAGATTAGTAGCGATCAAAAGCGCTTATTTTTCGCCGTATGCTAGTATTCTTTTTTTATTTTTCGCTAACACTCCCTTTAAAGTTTCAAGTTGTCTTTATACTCCATCCTTTGCGGGTAACCCTTTATGGGATAAACTGTAATTATTAAAGGAACTGTAGAGATTTAACATAATTTTGAACGAATCCTTCATTTACAGAGTGGCCTGTTCAAATCACATCGACACTATCTTAGTTGACTGCGGAGAACTTGGTGTTTTTCGAGTTAAAAATAGTTCAAACTATTTAACGCAGCGTACTACGCATATTTCTCGAAAATTCAACATATTCTATATATAACATGTTTTAAAAAAATTAAAGAATATAAGTATTTAGCGGATTTAAAACAAATTAATTACTAATAACAAGCATTTTTAAGGATAAAACAAGGATAGCGCCATCATCTTTGATTAGTAAAAAGTTTCATATCTACCAATACCAATCTACAAATGATACTCTACAAAACGAAAATTACTTGAAAATACTTTTACTTCTACTTAAAATATTTGTAAATTGAGAGAAATTTCTCTTTAAATATTCGTACTTTAGATTTTTTAAGTCAAAATCAACTTACCATAGCTAAAAAATGTCTACATCAGAGACTGCAGTTCAGGGGATAAAAGATCTAAAACTGTTGTTGGCTCAAAATATTAGTTTTAATGTACAATTCTAGGAGAGAGTGCCACTTCTTGCCTTTACAGTTTCAAACGATCTTGTACTTAAAAACATTTCCATGTTGCAAATCCTGCACATTGAACAAAATGTTTTTTTGTTGACTTGTATACATAAATATCAGAAAGATATCAACAAATCTGAAACATTTATCTCATAAAAAAAATAATTATATACAAATATTTTTTAACTGGCTTCATATTTTTTAGTACTAGCTTCAATCCGTGCTTTTAATATCTTAATATTTAAAAAAAGGTTTAATGCAAAGCTTGATATTTTTATAGAATCGAATGTATATTAATTTATCTATTAGAACTACAGTGATAACCAGAAAACTCTAAAATACGAAGACGACTTATAGTAATACTTAAGAAGTTTAGTGTATTTGATCGTGTTACAAAGCAAATAGTGTTTAGTGTATTTGATCGTGTTACAAAGCAAATAGTTTTACTAGAAACTTATTAAATCCCTAATTGAGTGAAATGGGTTTGTTTAAACTGTACAATTGCTACGTACATTATATGGACCATTTAAAGTTATATCTTCAGTCTGAAAGTCGTCTTCACATTTCAGAGTTTCCTGGTTATCACTGTAGAACACGTTAAACTAAAGCAAACTGCGCGTTAGATTGAAATATTTTATGTTTTCAATCATATCTCCTCTAATTGAAGAGTTAGTAAGAAGAGCACTGAGCAAGTTATAACTTTCTAATATGTACCAGAATACATTTTTTTTCTCGAGCAAGTGCTTAAAATCCAATCTTGAGGAGCTACGAGGTCACAATCTCGAAGCAGTAATGTCGCAATAATTTGATCTTCTTCTTCTGTCTAGTTCACAGTGAGAATAGCTTACATAAATTAGTGTATATCGTACATAAATCGGTATATCGTGCACATAAATCAGTATATCGTGTCTAAATCAGTTTACAGAACATGTATCAGTTTACTGTGCGTAAAAATCAGTTTGCTATACATTATCAGTTTATCGCTCATAAATCAGTTTACTGTACATAAATCAGTATATCGCTCTTAAATCAGTGTACTGTACATAAATCAGTATTTCGCTCATGTATCAGTTTACTTTAATAAATCAGTATTTCGCTCTTAAATCTGTTTACTATACGTTATCAGTATATCGCTTATAAATCAGTTTACTGTACATAAATCAGTATACCGCTTATAAATCAATTTACTGTACATAAATCAGTATACCGCTTATAAATCAGTTTACTATACATTATCAGTATATCGCTCATAAATCAGTTTACTGTACATAAATCAGTATACTGCTTATAAATTAGTTTACTGTACATTTTCAATTTATCGCTCATAAATCAGTTTACTATACATTATCAGTATATCGCTCATAAATTAGTTTACTGTACATAAATCAGTATTTCGCTCATAAATCAGTTTACTGTAATAAATCAGTATATCGCTCATAAATCAATTTACTATACATTATCAATTTATCGCTCATAAATCAGTTTACTGTACATAAATCAGTATATCGATTTTAAATCAGTGTATTGCACATAAATCAGTATATCGCGTTTTAATCAGTTTACTATACATTATCAATTTATCGCTCATAAATCAGTTTACTTTACATAAATCAGTTTACTGTACATAAATCAGTTTACTGTACATAAATCAGTTTACTGTACATAAATCAGTTTACTTTACATGAATCAATTTATCTCTCATAAATAAAATGCATCAAGCCAGATAAATCAGTAGATATAAATTGTTGACCAATGAAGTTTACCGAAATAAATCAGAATACTAAAAAATATAATCATGTGATAAACTTTTGTATTGAGAGTTTTCCAAAGAAAGCTAATTGCAAAGACGACATTATTGTATATGTATTGTAGGTAATATGAACGGCGGATCTACAAATATTGAGTTTGAAGGTAGACAGCCAGATTTTAACCAAGGTAGGATGTTTTATTGATAAAATTAATTTGGAAATTATTGAAAATTTGACACTTTAAATTTTTCCTAAATTGAAAGCAACGAGATTAAAGTTAAAGAGCACTTTCGACGAGTTATATACATGTTAAGCTTGGTAAATCACTAAGAAGCTAAGTCTAATCGTTTTGCAATATGGTATAGGACAAATTCTTGCCATTTTCTTAATTAAAAAGTCCGCAAGTTGCTTTCAAGAAAATCCACGTTTAAGATGGAAATAATGCTCAAACATCGTAGCTTATGTCGCTATAGGTTTAATTATTGATGAGAATCTTTAATGCTCTCTTTAATTTAAACTATAATTTCGTTATTTGTCTCTTTATTTTAGACAAATTTTAATTCAAGATCAAAAGATATTTTATAGCCTTATAAAATATCAATATTGTTAATATATTATTTTTAATAATGACAATTTTTGACTGATCTTATAAATGATATTTATTTTAAGATAATTATGTTTTTAAAGGGACTGTACACCTAATTATGTTTTTAAAGGGACTGTACACCTAATTATGTTTTTAAAGGGACTGTACACCTAATTATGTTTTTAGAAGGACTGTACACCTATAATTATGTTTTTAAAGGGACTGTACACCTAATTATGCTTTTAAAGGGACTGTACACCTAATTATGTTTTTAAAGGGACTGTACACCTAATTATGTTTTTAAAGGGACTGTACACCTAATTATGCTTTAAAGGGACTGTACACCTAATTATGTTTTAAAGGGACTGTACACCTAACTATGCTTTTAAAGGAACTGTACACCTAATTATGTTTTTAAAGGGACTGTACACCTAATTATGTTTTAAAGGGACTGTACACCTAATTATGTTTTTAAAGGGACTGTACACCAAATTATGTTTTTAAAGAGAATGTACACCTAATTATGTTTTTAAAGGGACTGTACACCTAATTATGTTTTTAAAGGGACTGTACACCTAATTATGTTTTTAGGACTGTACACCTAATTTCAAATGACTCTTCCTTTAAAGATTCCGATTCACAACGGTATCCTTGAAACTTCTAGCTGAGTAACAGTGAGGAAGATACTGTCGTTTTTAAATTTTAAAAATTGAGTGTTGAATTCTTACAAATTCTTGTATTGTCTCAGCAGCATAAAACCTTGATTTGACCTTTATTTGACAAAGGTTTAAAGGGTGCCGTATAGTGCAAAATTGATGTTTTATGATTTTTATAAAATTAATTTTTCTAGGAGGTGTTAGTGGGAATCAATTGTCAGATACAGAGCTTAAACGTTTAGGGGTAAATATATATATTTTTAATAAGAATATTTTTGAAAACTATTTTATTAAAATTTTCTTTTCAGCTAGAATCTATAAAAAAGAAACTATTTTCTAAAATATGTTTTCTTAATAAATAAGATTTCTGTTCACTGCAGAGTTTAAATCAAGTTCATTGTAAAAGATACTGCAGTCTCTGTTTTTATTAAAGGGAGTGACCGGCTATGTAAGGTAGTTGAACTGAGTATGCAGTGTTGTAGAAAACTTCTTTCAGATTCCTTTGAGACATATAAAACTTTTTAAAGATCTGTAAATCCTGAGTTTGAGCGCAAATTCGATGTTCAAAACTCCTACTTTGGGAGTGGATACGTTTTCAGAATTAGTTTTTTTTAATTATTAAATAACGACGACATAAAATGTAATAAAAATTCTACAGTAAACTAATTAGTTGTTTAGGAACAGGTTGAGAAAATAAAGATTAATCTTATCATCGAAAATAAGTAATCAATTTTCAATTATTAGTTTCTATTTTCTCATTATTCTGGTTTCTCATTATTCACAAAGATTTTCTGCAGATTTTCTGGAATATTATTTAAAAGACGACATTTTAAGAATTTGAAGAAATCTGCGAATAAATGCAAAGAAAATAAGAAATTCAATATAATGATGAAAACGAAATAATTTATTCTATCATTGATATATTGACAAATTTCTTTTTAAAAATATGTTCCTAACCATCTAATTAGATTACTGTATATTTTTACTATATTTTTCGTAGTCGTTATTTAATAATTATAAAGAAACTAATTCTGGAAAAGTATCCACCCCCAAAGTAGGAGTTTTGAACGTCGAACTTGCCTCAAACTCAGAATTTACAGATCTTTGAAAAGTTTTATATGTCTCAAATGAATCTAAAAGAAGTTTTCCACAACACTGCATACTCAGTTCAACTACCTTACATAGCTAGTCACTCCCTTTAAGCCCAAGTACTGCAAAGCATATGTTTAGTTACCCAATATACTTATTTTCAGTAAAAATTAAGGTTAAATTTTCTTTATTTTTTCTTAATAAAAATCTCTTTGATTGCTAGGATTATTTTTTTTAATTATCCATCATTTCCATTTTCAAACAAAAAGAGAAGGAATTGAGTCTTTGCCACAATCTCTGATTTTATAATCCCTATATCTGTGCAACCCAATAACGTAGACCTGAGACATTTCAAAAAATGAATTCTGGTAGATAAAAAGTCTAAGTTTGAAATAACAAAGGTCTTCACGATTAGGTTATTAGAAAATTTAAGTTTGTATCAATGACTCAGTTCCTTTACATTTGTTATATTAGGAGGGGAACCCAAGCTTAGTTCCAGATGAGAATAGAGGTTCATGTGAACTTTATGTTGGAACTGTTTGCAAACAGTACATTGGTAGGTTGGGATGAAATTATAACGCTGTTTTCAACTTTTCCACCTTTTAAATAACCAAGGACAGTTCTCTGTCGATTTTTAAAATAATTTAAAGCGCTAAAAGGGCTTTCTGTTTTCGGCGTTCCACAGACCTAGCCAATCAAAAAGATTCATGGTCTACGACATCGGGCGCCGGGTTTGGGCAGTATTGTTTGTACTTTGAACCTTCAGAATTTTTCTAGAAAAGAACAAATTTAATTTTTGCGTGAACATATTTGAAATCACTTCAAAGTTTGGATGTGAATGTTTCAAAGTATTCGGGTCTTTCATTTTCACTTCATTTTCACTTCATTTTCACTTCATTTTCACTTCATTTCACTTCATTTTCACTTCATTTTACTTAATTCTTGCTCTATTGCACGCTTTGTTTGATGAATGTTGAATGGCAGATCAAAACGTTAATGATTTGTTTATAAAAAAAATTTAAATATTTTTTGCTAAATGTTTATTGATATCTTATTCTAAAATAATGTTGAAATTAATGAAACAGTCCCTCCCAAGAAAAAGGGGTTTATGTCCAAAGATAACACAATCTATTTGAAAAGCGATGGGGCTTTTTTTATAACTAAGTAAGTAAATGATTTTTAACCTTAAATTTTGTTTTAGGGCAGAAATACATTTATATCAGTGATGGTTTGAAACAGGATTATATTGAACAGAAACTTCAGGCAATCAATCAATCAATCAAAAAATCGACAAATAAATTATTCGATTAATAAATTTACCAACACATGGATCAATTTATAAACTATTCAACTAATACATCTTTTTATAAATCACTTAAATTTAATTTGATCATCCAGTTTTTAAAGCACAATAAAAAGAATATTGAATAATGTTTCTAGAAAGTAAAAGTAAAGTATCCTGCTTTATATTCGTCATGTCAAGTATATAATTGTAAATATTTAAGAATAATCCAAGAACTGAAGGGCATTGAGATCCGTTTTTAAACATTTTAAACAAAGTTTTAAAACTTTTAAGAGGCTCCGCAAGAATCTGAGATGTCAAATTGCTCTTGTTACAGTGAAAACCAGAAAACTCTGACATGGGAAGACGACTTTTAAACTCAAGTTAGGACTGAAACTAGTTCAATAAACATTAGACAGCAATTGTACAGCGTAAATAGACCCTTTTCACTTAAATTGTGCTTTGCTAAGTTACTAGTAAAAATATTTGCTTTGTAACAACATCAACACACTTAAGTATTGCTATAATGTCGTCTTTATATTCCATTTTTTTCTGGTTATCACTAAACGTTTTGCAATTTTCTTTGTTTCTGGACAAAGATATTCTCCAAAACGATTGAAAAGTCGTTTTGGCTGATTGATTGATTGATTGATATCTTTGACCAGAAAAATAATTCGCATAATGTATAAAAAGCAAGTTTATCGAGAATACAAATTAATGGAGCATTTTAACGTCAGAAAGCCCCAAATGTCTTAAAATAAGCCTCAAAACGAGGCCCATCAGTACCAAGACAAAATTATTAATGTATTGTAAATTGTGAATAATTTCAAATAATTGAACAGTCACTTTTGTGTTTTGAAATGTCTTCCTCTTCCTCTTAATGTTGCAGTATCAAATTATCCGGGGGGAAAATGAAAATTTACGATTAAAAAAGGTTTTATTTAACTTATGTTTATTCATTGAATGAGTTTTTTCTTAATGACGTTGAATAAGCTGGAGGACTGCAAAATCCTAGGGTTTGACCACTACTAGCCAAGTAAAAAGAATTGATCTAGAAAGTTTTGTAAAAGATGGTGCAGTATAGTGTATATATCCTGAGGGTCGAAAAATAAGTTGAAAGAAACAACTTTACAAATTGTAAAATTGTTTCTGATCTTTTTATTTTAATATATTTTTTTCAGTTTGTCTGAATTGATTGAAATCAAAAGACTGTTGATAAGAATAATAATAAAAGTTTAAAAAGGATAATAATCATAAAACTAATTCCTTTGTTGATTTCTAAATATTTCTGATTGAATGGTTTGGTTTGGTTTAGGGTGTATTTAAAGTAATAACTGCCTCCCCCGACCTTTCGAGCAAATGTGCCGAATTTGCTCTGCCTAGTATCTGCCTTTCCACCTTTGCCATCTGCGATGAGACACGGCGTCGACCGAGGAAAATCTGCCGGGACGAATGTGAGATACTGGAACGGGATGTGTGTCAGGAAATGCGCTAGAAACAATCTTTTCGTTTTTTCCCGCCATTTTTTGGACCAGAAACTCGTGAACAAATATCCGTCATGTTTTTCTCGACATTTTTTGCTTCATGTTCCAGATTTTTGTTTTCATCACTTGATCAAAAACTAGATATTTTACTATTTTACTTTTTGCTAGATTAAAAACATGGTCATTAGCTTTAAATCACTTCAAACATTCTTTTCTTGTAAATTGTGTCAACAAATAGCTGTATTGTAAGTTAGTTATAAATAAAAATCTGCCAAAAAAAGAAGATATTTTTGTTCAGATTGTAATTTGTTTCTACGCCTTTTAGTCTGAACTAGCAATAGCTAAACGACATCCGTTGCTTGGGCATCAGATGGTTCTCCCCGACTGTGAAAAACTACCTCCGATAGGTAAGAAATTACCTCCAATCATTAGAAAACTTTTCCTCCGATAGGTTTGAAACCACCTCAGGTGTTGGTGGAAAACTGTCTTTAATAGTTGGAAACCCACCTCCGATAATTAGAATACTACCTCTGATAATAAGAATACTGCCTCCGATAATTACAATACTGCCTCCGATAATTAGAATACTGCCTCCGATAATTAAAAAAATGACCTCCGATAATAAGAACACTACCTCCAATAATTAGTACACTACCTCCGAGAGTTATAACAGTGCCTCCAATAATTAGTAAGCTTTGTGTTAATCAAACAAATAAATCAAACAATTTACTAAAGTATCAAGAAATAAAAAGTGAAAAGTATTTTTTGGTTTTATATTTTATATTTTATGTATTTTCTTTGTCCTACAAGCTACAAGGGACTTTAATGATGGATTTTCTCTCTTTTGCTCTCAGCTCGCCATTCTTTTACATTTTTAATTATTTTATATACACCTAATTCTCTCCAGTTTCCTTTTAACTTTGTCCCTAGGGAACTACTGTTCCCTATATACGAATTAAGGATAAATTTCAGATTTTTTCTTTTTGATATTTTTTCAAATAAAAGTCAAATAAAACAAAACACATTGTTTAAAAACTCTGAAAAATTTAACTTTTTATTTTAGCTTGGTAAATTTTTTTCTTTGTTTTTTAAAATGATTCTGTTTTCCAGAAAGCTTCAAATATACTTTAGTTTCCTAATTATTTTACAATTATCTTCTTATTTTCCTGCATCCCCCTTTTTTCTTTTTCTTATACTTTTTAACCCTGAAATTTGTTGAGATAAAAACTGAATCCAGAATAAGTAGAATTCATGATTTTCATTTGATTTTTGATTCAGGTGGTCATAATTATTGCCGAAACCCTACGGATCCCAATTATCAGGTAAACGTTTAAGTTTAAGTTCATCAACAAGAAATAAACCAAAACAATTCTTTTAGGGTTTTTAGATTTTTTAAAAGTTTTAGTACAGTGGTCGGGGTTTTTATCAATACAATGAAGACGAATTTTCTATTTAGTTTTTTTCTATCAAACCTTTCCCATGTTCACGTGTATCCAATCCATGCTGTTTAAAAGCTAATAGTAGACATGAAAAATTGAAATCGGAAGTCGTCTTTATTATATTGGCATATATGACGACGACGTAGTATGTTTCAACATGAATTCAGGTTCGTTTTATCTTTTTTAAGGGTTCACACTATAGCTTTTGAAAATACTAAATAATGTATTTCAAAAACATCTTTGATGTTGTAAATATTAGAATCTGATGCCACAATCAGTGCTTAGGATCCATTTAATTTTGATGCGGATCCTGGATCCTGGATCCGCACTGGAAAAAAATGGATCCAGATCCAGGTCATGAACATTTCTTTAAAATTTACAGAATTCTTTTAACAAAGCAGAATTTTTAAAATTGTTGTCTTATTTGTTTCGCTTATTTTTATGCAAACTTTAAAAACCATTCAGAAATCAGGAAATTTTTATAATCTCTCTTTTTTCAATAGTTCAAATTTTGGTTTTGAGAGTAAATTTTTTTTAGCAGTTTTTGGTTGATATATTGCCCCTTAGATCCGGATCCGTGGATCACTTTTATACATTTTGAAATGTTGGATTTTCCTATTTTTCTGAGGTTATGAAGCAAAAATCGATCCAGCTTTAATATTTTACAATAAAAATGACTCTGAAATACATTTTTTGCACTTTTTAGATTTGGACTCAGGCAACATTTTTATAGAAAAATTTATTTTGATTAATTTTTTTTTAACTACTTTCTGATTAAAAACCATCCCTGGGGGAGTGCATTTCAGGTTCCACAAATATTGGACCAAATGGACGGTTCCGAATTTTTTATTGGCAACAAAAAAAAATGAAAAAAAATATTATGTTTTTCTAGGAGAAGGAACCATGGTGCTTTACTAACGATGATATGGTTCGGCGTGAAGTGTGTTCTGTACCACGCTGTACAGAGTTCAATATGTGGCTGTACATAGCTGTACCTACAGTATCCGCAGTGGCTATCATAGGAAAGTGCTTGTACGATCTGTGCCTGTTCATCTTATTTGACCTAAAATTATAATTTTTGTGTTTTGAATCTCAGAATCAAGCATTCATCTCCATCTTATACAGACCTATGAATTATTTCAATTCTTTGATATTCCGAAGTATAAATACCCTGCAGGGATAACTTAGACATATCTCAATATTTTTTATATCACTTACATTTTGTTTATTATTTTGAAATGCTTTTGGTAACTGTAATTTTACATATTACGAAAAATTGGGGTTTCTATGTTAAAGCTTTATCTGAAAAACAATGGCGCAGATATTGTCGTTTTTCTACACGATAATAAATCACGTGTCATTTTCTGACACTTCTGCCTGTCACTTGTTAAATAGGTTTAAGGGTTTTTATATGAATACTTGAATCAAATAATTTATGAAAGGTTAAAAGTGTGTTCCTTTAAACAAGATTGTATTGTACTCCAGGTTTATCTATTGGTTTATGTTGTATGAGACGGAAAACACCTCCGGCTAAACCTCTAATTGTTCCATCATCAGGAACACTCAGAGGATTCCAGAACCAACATGTTAATGGGAATCAGGTAAAGGATTAGGTTCTAGAACCAACATGCTAATGGGAATCAGGTATAGGACAAGGTTCCAGAAACAACAGGCTAATGGGAATCAGGTATAGGAATAGAGTTCAGAACCAACATGTTAATGGGAATCAGGTATAGGAATAGAGTTCAGAACCAACATGTTAATGGAAATCAGGTATAGGAATAGGTTTTAGAATCAATATACTAATGGGAATCAGGTATAGGAATAGATTCTAGAGCCCACATGGTAATGGAAATCAGATATAGGAATAGAGTTCAGAACCAAAATGCTAATGGGAATCAGGTATAGGAATAGAGTTCAGAACCAACATGTTAATGGAAATCAGGTATAGGAATAGAGTTCAGAACCAATATGCTAATGGGAATCAGGTATAGGAATAGAGTTCAGAACCAAAATGCTAATGGGAATCAGGTATAGGATTAAAGTTCAGAACCAACATGCTAATGGGAATCAGGTATAGGATTAGGTTCAAGATTCAACATGCTAATGGGAATCAGGTATAGGAAAAGGTTCCAAAATCAATCTGCTAGTGGGAATCAGGCATATCTAATTTTATATCTTTCTATCAACCTGTCTATCTAGCCATCAACATAACTCTCTAGCTATCTGCTTATCAACATATTTAACTCTCCAGCTATCTACCTATCTATCCAGCTATCGTTTTATCTATCCAACTATTTATTATTCTGTCAAGTTATCTAGTAGTAAATGCCCTACTCCATAAAAGTCTTTCAGATCCATATCAATCCAGGTACAACTCAATCAGGAACTCACAGTTCCACGAATACCACTATCAATATCAATCCGGACACGACTTTATCGGTACCAATACTCGATCCCTCTCGTTATGGTGGACAAGGCATAAGAGCTATTCAGTTCACTAATACTTTACTATCAATGTCAATCCGGGCGTGACTTTATCTGTATCGATACTTGTTCCCTATCGTTATGATTGATTGGGCATAAGAGCTATTCCGTTCAATAATACTTTACTATCAATGTCAACCCGGACACGATTTTATCTGTATGAAATCCCAATCTATTTCTATCTTTCAAGAGAGTGATTCAGGCTCGTTCGCTAACCAAGAAGAATTACTCTCACACCGTAATCAAAGAGGAGTATTTTCTAACTTTCGTGTTTTTAGATATCTATGTTACGGGTTAAGTTAATGTACGTATTTACAAGATTTGCGCAGATACATATAAGCGTAGTTAAGCTAATCACAATACAGGTTTGGCATAGTTATTTATAGAAGTAGCTAGGTTAGGTTAATCGCAATTCAAGTTTTGCGAAGATACTTACAAGCGCATTTGAATTTATAGACAATGTAGAACGTAATATATCTAGGTATGTTTAAATATAGGGTTTGCTACGGTATTTGTTACATACATAACTTTAAAGCTCTTTACATAACTTTAAAGCTCTCTACATAACTATAAAGCTATCTACGTAACTATAAAGCTATCTACATAACTATAAAGCTATCTAGATAATATAAAGCTATCTACATATCTATAAAGTTTTCTACCTACATATTGAGCTATCTATCTAACCATCTACCCATCTATCAAGCTTTTTTCTTCTCTATCCATCTCGCTAGCTACCAATTAAGCTATTTATCTATCCATCTATCTATTTATCTATCTATCTATCTATCTATCTATCTATCTATCTATCTATCTATCTATCTATCTATCTATCTATCTATCTATCTATATATCTATCTATCTATCTATCTATCTATATATCTATCTTTCTATCTATATCTATCTATCTATCTATATATCTATCTATCTATCTGCTATGTTTAGTCCACAATGGAGCTGAACCCATTAATCAACACAAACTCTAGACCTAAGAAAAACAGGGCTATGGAGATACCTATTAGCAATATTAGGTAAACTATAAAGATTTTATATTTATAATCATAATTTATATTATAGACATTGGACGATAGTCAGAACCAGGGGTACCCATTCAGCTTGTTTTCACCTCCTCTTATCGATGCCCCCTTTTTTCATCTTTTTTTCTTCTCCAAATAGCAATTACTCGGCGCACTCCCTTTAATTTTTTTCTTTTTATTGATTTTCTAACCCCTCAACCTTGCTTTTTAGTTATTTTGTCCCTTTTCTCCATCTATTAGGCCTTCTTGTTTGTTTTGCATATTCCTAAACTAAATCTTACCTCTCCCTGTAAAAGAAATTTTAAAAATGTTCATCAATTGTTCACCTTCCTCCATAATTTGCTAAGTTGTTTGATACTAAAGAGACTAATTACATTTTTTATTTGACAGTTATATCATAGTAAAATTTATTTCACAGTAAAATATATATGAGTTAAACATTTTTGTTGTGCACACCGAAATACGAAGAAACTTTTTTATTGCAAGAGTTATCAATATGTGGAATAATATTCCATATGAAACCAAAAGTGCTGGAAACCTGAACATTTTCAAACAAGCTCGATAACTGGCTGAATTCCTGAACGGCCAATGAAGTCGGAAAAGAGATGTTTTAAATTATCACACCCGTGATATTTAAATATAAACACACCAATTAAACAAATTAAATTAAAGAAATAAACTGCAAAAGGTCTTTAATATCTAATACAGTAAATGGAAGAAGACATTCAAAGATATTCACCAAGTGTCATGTTTCGTGGGACACCCTCAATGTGGAACTTTTCCCCCACTATAACCGTTATTTCAAGTGACCCTCCATGTAAAGATGGCAATATCCCATTCATAACTGTTTATTTTGAAAATTAATTTCAATTTTGGGTTCTTTACAAAAGGGACTCGCGCATTTTTACTACAGGAAAAAATACAGTAATTATCAAACTTAATCTTGTTTAAACCTAGAAAACAACGTTATTATTCATCAGGTTTAGGTTTCAAGGGTACCGTTGTAAATCGGGCATTGACACCTTTGCATGAAGGGTTACTTGAAATTACTCTTACAACTTAAATCCCCTACCAAGCATCAATGTTTAGAGCTTCATTTCTTTGTACTTTTCAGATTCCTGCAGGAGCTGGGGGAGGGGGCCTTTGGTAAGGTTTACAAAGGCGAGCTGGCCGGATATATTGGCGGTGTATCAACCCTGGTGGCGATTAAGACCCTGAAGCCGGGGGCGGTGCTCAAGACGGTTCAGGACTTTGTCCGAGAGTCTGAACTCATGGCAGATCTTAAACATACAAATATTGTCTGTCTTATTGGAGTTTGTATGCAGGAGGAACCAAAGGTACACTTATTCTTAACAGAGCTTTCATGGTCAATTTTCGATATATTAACAGTAACACTCTGATAGAGTGTAAGATGATTAAGCAAGTATTGTCTAATTATTGTGCTCATATTGTAGGTTTTTTATTGGCAAAAAGGCGCAACAAATTTGTGGCACAACCGTTTTGAAATAGGAGGCGTAACTTTGTATTTGTGTAGAGGGGGGGGGGGGGGAATTCAGGTTCGTTTTATCTTTTTTAAGGGTATTTTTTTAATTTTTTTAATTTTCTTTATTTTATCGTATTTTCTTTATTTTCTATTTTTCTTTGTTTTTTTTATTTTCTTTATTATCTTTATTTTCTTTATATTATCTTATTTTCTTTATTTTCTTTGTTTTCTTTATTTTCTTTATTTTTAAATTTTTTTTCTTTTCTTTTTTTTGTTCTCCCTTTTCTCTTTTTTCTTCTTTATTCTCTTTGTCTTCCTTTTTCTTTTTTCTTCTTTTTTCTCTTTTTTTTTACCCTACTTTTGACCTACTTTTGCTTGGTAAAGTTAGATTTTCGGATCTTCTGCCTTTAATATAATGGTAAAGAAAAAAAACCCATATTCATTAACATTTAACCAAATATATAAAATTTCAACCTAATGCAAATGGTGTAAACCTTTGTGGTTTTCATTATGGATTATTTCATCTGGCAGAATTAATATTTTTAAAAATCATTGGTCTACAAGTACAACATCAGGGTAAGGCATCATCAATATTGCTAAAAAGCAAATAGTTTTACAAGCAGGGTCAACATCAAAATAAACTATCAAATAGTTTTACAAGCAGGGTCAACATCAAAATAAACTATCAAATAGTTTTACAAGCAGGTTAAAAATCAACTTATTAAGTGAAATGGGTCTGTTTGCACTGCACGATTGCTGTGTCTCATGTTTATTGGACTATTTAAAGTCATAATTTGATTATCAGAGTCGTTTTTCTATTCTAGAGTTCTCTGGTTCTCACTGTACGTACTGCGTACATAAAACAATATATTGTACCTAGGATCCCCTGAAAGTGTTGATTGTGTACAGCTCGGCTTTCCTCTAGCAGATCAGCTGATCCAACCGCACACGTGCTATTCCAAACATGGCGACACCTACCGGGGGACGTTCTCAACCACTAGGTACAGTTACTGTATTTCATGTACACACAAGTACATTATCAACCACAAGGTAAAGTTATTGTTGTATTTCATGTATACTTCGTACATTTTCTTATAAAAGGTACAGTTATTGTTGTATTTCATGTACACACTAGCACATTTTCAACTACAAGGTTGCAGTTATTGTTGTATAATGTACACATTAGTACATTTTCATATTAAAGGAACAGTACAGTACTTAATGTACATTTCGTACATTTTCAACCACAAGATTATTGAATTTTAAGTACATTTCCTAAACTCTCAAATACAAGGTACAACGCTGATGATTTTGTCCTTGAATAATAAGAACGTTTGGCTTAATTTTTTGCGATTTTTCGCTTTTTGTTTTAATATGAAAGAACATTTTTTAATCCAATTGAATTGACCAGAGATTTATTAAAAAGTATGGACATGAACCATAGCCAACTTTTAGGTTTATTTACATATATTTAGAACCGGTTTGCACTGCATACCCTGGAGCCACCAGACTGAACTGAAAACAGTAGATCATCTCGAATTAATAGGTAATTGTCACCGAACTGGTAAAAATAATAATCAGCAAAAAAAGATTTAAATTGTTGATATTAACTTTAAATTAGGGTTTGAAGCGAACGAAACGTTTCGCAAAAAAAGGCAAAAATTTTCGTTCGTATTTCGCAAACTTTTTCGCGAAATTACGCGAAAATAAATAAAACAAAAATGCGAAAATTTTCGCGAAACTCAGAGGTGTTGAAGCTGTATTTTGTTTTTTGATGAATTCTCGCAAACATGTATCATTTTTTCATCATTCATCATCATTTCGAATTTTTTCGCGAAAATTGCGCATTTCTAATTTTGTGAAAATTTCGCATTTTTCGCGAGCGAACGAAACGCAAAAAATGCGAAATTTTCGCGAAACGGTTTTTCCTTTTCGCTGCAAACCCTACTTTAAACTGATTAATATAAAGGCTAAAATGATCAACACTATCTTTGCTCTTTGCTCATATTTATATATATTTCCATTTTCAACTTCAATACAGTACAGTACAGTACAGTACAGTACAGTACAGTACAGTACAGTACAGTACAGTACAGTACAGTACAGTACTATACAGCACTGTTAAGTTTACCCCACGATTGGGCTATTATTTTTTTCTCACAAAATGAAATTATCAAATAAAAAAGTATCAAAAATTTCTGATCCTTTTTTCACGTCCACTTTCTTTACAATTCTGTTTTAGTCTGATATGAATGACTCTGATGATAGTCAGGATGGGAAGTTGTTGACTCAAACAGAGATGGCTTATATTGCAATACAGATTGCTGCAGGTATACAGTACAGGGCTCTATTTTATACAATTCGTGGTGGGGGGCTTTGTTGAATCCTGGAAATACTGGTTTTCACGTTTCTAACCCCTCCCCCCCTTGTAAACGATAATCTAGGTAATTCTGAAAAAAAAACTGGAAATAAAAAAAAACTTTGGTAACTTACAAGTCCTTGGGGAAAAGTCCTTGGTTTTTGACTTCTAGGACTCTCGGGTTGGGACTATTTTTTACAGGACTTTTTCAGAGCCAAACAGAGACATTATTCCGAAAACTTTTTTTTAGAAACTCTCTTGGCTGTTATCGTATAGGAAATGATTTGACAAAGAAATTTAAAATTGACAAGATAACCCTTTTTTTACTATTTTTTTAGGAATGGAGTACCTTTCCTCTCACCACTATGTACATAGAGACCTAGCAGCTAGAAATTGTTTAGGAAAATATAATTGTTCACTGTACACCTTACACATGTGTTTATGCTTCAAACATGAGAATTAAAATAAAATCCACTTTTTAATGATTCACATTTTTAAAATTCCTTTTGGTTGTAACAGACTTTTTTCGTTTAATTATATGAAAAGATTAGTTTTATTAATGATAACTATATCATATCCATAAAAGAAATCATTACAATAACAACAACCAATCTTTTCTCTTGTGTTTTTTAGAAATTGGGTTTCATTGTATTTTTATGAATATGCCTATTTTTTGAAGATTTCGGTGCCAAATATTGAGAGATGAAAGTTATAATCAAGTTTTTTTTGATGTAAAAATCAAAGCTACTTTTTAAATTTAAATCAATCAATCTGAAATGAGAAAATCTCAATCTATCTAATGAATATTTATATAAAGGCTAGAGAGACAAATTAACATTAAATGTACAAATTATATTTTTCACTAGTTGGAGAAAATTTTACTGTAAAAATATCAGATTTTGGACTTTCTAGAGATATCTACAGTGCCGATTATTATAGGTGGGGTTTTTTGATAAATTAATTATTATTATTATTATTATTATTATTATAATTATTATTATTACAGAGTGCAAACTAAGTCTCTGCTTCCTGTACGTTGGATGCCTCCTGAGAGTATACTGTATGGGAAGTTTACAACAGAATCTGATGTTTGGGCCTTCGGAGTAGTTCTCTGGGAGATTTATTCATTTGGACTCCAACCATATTATGGATATTCGAATTCAGAGGTTAATTTTAGTTTATTCTGTAATCAAAAGGGGGTTATAAGCATAAATAATTTGTCCTTCCCCCTCGCATTCATACGGAAAGCCAAAGACCCAAAAAAACGTTAGGAAAATATAATCCATTTTCGATTAAAAAATAACAGATATTTATATCAGTAATGCTTATGTATAACATGATATATGCTGTTCTGTGTGATATCTTTAGACAGTAAAACTTTTAATATCAACTATTTAGCTCTGGTTTAAAGGGAGAGACTAACTAAGTGCAGCATTGTAGAGAAAAACTCTAGGATTCATTTGATTCCTAATGATACATTTTTACCGCTTACAATTTTGAATAAGAGTGTAGAGTCGTTTTTAATATTTCTTCAGTTGTTCAGTCAGCAGAAGAAACGTTTTTTTAACAATTCTTTAATAACATAAACAAACATGTAACGAATAAAGTTATTAAAGTTCTTTTTAAAATCTCGCAGGTTTATGCAAATTCTTTCAGATAGGTTCGCTTGTTTTGAAAGTTTTTTATTTTAATTGTGAAGATGACATATTTTTTACATGTTTTGTCCGGTTGTTAAAAAGTTTACACCGTAAAAGTTTCCCATAGGTATGAATGAATCCTGAAGATTTTCTCTACAATACTGCACTTTCAGGCCAACCACTATGTCTAGCCGGTCTTGCCCTTTTAAGATTGTCGTTAGCGGAATATAATTCGTTTACTTCTTGTAATAAATTGGGAAATGTTGTTATAAATAAAGAATTTAAAAAAACATACAATGTTCTTGAATAATTAAAAAGCAATGTATTTTGCTTTGCATTAAAGCATGTTTTTGTTGTAGAACAAAATTTCAAAAAAAGGGATTTTTTCAAAAATATTATTATTTAGGTTATTGAGATGATCCGAAGTCGACAGCTGCTGCCTTGCCCCGAGGATTGTCCCAGCAGGATGTACGCCTTCATGGTCGAGTGCTGGCACGAGGTCCCCAACAGAAGACCAGTTTTCAGGTAAACGTAATTTCAAGTGACCCTCCATGCAATTCCGATTCACTTTATTTCACTTTATTCCTTTATTTGATCAATAATGTAGAAGATATTGTCTTTAATTTAATTGTTTTTATTTCTGATAATTACTTTTTGTTTTTCTGTAGTAGAAATGCGCGAGTATTTTTTGTAGAGAAACCACTGTTAAAAATAATTTTTTTAAAATAGACATGGGTATTTAATTCATACTTAAACAGACAAAACTATTAAGGGTACCGTTGTAAATCGTGCATTGCAATCTTAGCATGGAGGGTCACTTTAAACTTTGCCTACAGTCCCTTTATATGTCTGAGTGATGAGTCCCTTTATTAATATTTTCCTATTAAGTGAGATCCACCAACGTCTGCTGCAGTGGGAGGGTGTAGGAAGTGCTGGATATCAACCATCAACTACCAGTCATAGTGTTGGTAACAATAGTCAGCAATCTTCACATCATAGTAGTACAGGTAAATACATCAGAACAAGAAAGCTGTCCAATAGAAAGACGACATTTTTCAAGCTAGTATAGTGACTCAAGTTATTACTTTAAATAGGCCAATGAACATGAGACATAGCAGTTTTGCAGTGTTAATAACCCCATTTCACTTAATTAGTAATTTAATAAGTGTGTAACAACATCAAATACACTTAATTAATCCTATTTATGTGCTTTTATGGAGCAAAAAATGTACAAGTAAATTTAGAATAGATATTATAAGTGAAATGGGTCCTGGATATACTACACTGTTTTTAATGCCCAGTAGACAATTTAAAGTCGAAGTTTAACAGTTGTCTGCAACCTATCCCACAGTTTTTAGGAGAGGCTAATTTATGAGAATATTTTTGAATAAAACTTTCGATTTTCAAATTTGGGGTTATTTTGGGGCAATCTCCGGTAATTTTGAAAGTAAAAAAGGCAGACCACATTTAAGAATGACAGCTGACAAAGGAAATTTTGTGATTTTTGTTTGAAGAAGCTTAATCGTGAAAGAAGGTTGCCAAATAAATGCTGAAAATTATTTCAAAGATCAAAGAAAATCTTGAGGTCGTCTCTCAACTGTCATGTTTTTGTAGGAAACCCTGTTTATTCTTAGTATTTTTAGGTCCAAGTAACAACACAGGCTCAACCAATCTAAGCGCACAGCAGCAACAGATGTACAATCCTTATCTTCCTAGATTCCAGGGCCCACACCAGTATGCAACCCAGGCCCCACCCCAGTACCAACATTTTACCCCTGGGCACACCCCTGTACGGTATCAGTACGCTCCTAGTCCTTCCAGGGGCCCCTACACTCCTACAATGGCTCAAATATCGTCAGGGGCACCTCAGAACATTATTGTGGGGGCTTATGGGAACCAGGGAGGGCAGATGTTTCATCCCCAGGGGTCTGGTCCTCCCTCGCACTGTGGAACCCCTAGTGTAGCTTCTCTTCAAATGGTTTAAACTATGAAAACTTTGTGTTAAGAAAACAAATTGATTAAAACCGAAATTATCCCTAAATTACAAAATAAGAAAATCCTAAATACATCAAATTTGAAATCATTTCAACAAAATAAGAAAAACATGGGCATTATCAAAACATATTGTTTTATCTTCTTCTCTTTTAACATCCTAGAAAACAATTTTATTGTTTATTTTCTATCATCGTCTAAACAACATATCTAGTAAATTTAAATGAAAAACTTATATTCTCATTGCAGGCACAGTCGAAGATAAATCTAGCTTTAAATTGTAGAATCTTGTGATTTTGAACTCTAATTAGTAAACGTAATGTTTAATATAAAGTATAATGTAAAGTACCGAATCCAATTTGTACAAGAAAGCCTAAAATCAAATAATACAGTTGAGAATATTAAACCAATTTTGAATTTTACTTTTCCGTAAATAAAAACACATAACTAAATCTCTGTCAAAGACTTTTATGCATTTTTTATATTCAGTCCGTATGTTGAAATGTACATGTTTATTGTACATATATTAAATAATTGTAGTTTTACGTTTTTTATGTACCGTTTACAGTTTACACCGGTGTACATGTTGTACCATGTTATATTGATAATACTGTACTGTAATTGAACATTTGACCCACAAACATCTTAGATCAATTTTAATCTGTAAAAGTTAATATAAGTAATTTTGTTAAGAAAATTTTAATGTTTTAAAATGGTTTTGTAATTTACCAAAAAAACTGTGTTAAGAAAAAGAATTCAAATTCAGAAATTTCTGAATATGACAATATTATGTTTATTGTGAAATTTGTACTCACTCGGTTTTTGATATTATTTTAACCGTATATATACATCTTCAATTTTACAATCCATATTTGTGAGATTAAACGGAATTTAAAGGGACTGTTTAAGGAAAAATGAAAGAGGGTATAGGCTGAAACCTGAGAATCTCAGGAGTCAAACGATACCTATAAAACATCTCTTTGATGTTCCTGTTTCGAGAAATTGACATAAAACTGTGTCAATTATTATACCAAAACGTATATATGTAAGATATACGCCCGTATCACGTTACCAGAACTCCCTCCAATGGCAGTGCAGTATACTGGTCACGTGATACAGGCGGAGACACATGAAAATGATACTGCACTGCCATTGGTTGGAGTTCTGGTGACGCATAAATAATGTTATCAATTATATCTATTAAAAATGAAAAATTATTCATTCAAATAATAATAGGAGCAAACTTAAGTTTCTCATGCTTCTCTTGGATATCGTTGTTTTCAGATTGGTGGCGTATTTGTTGAATATGATCTGTTTAATACTACGAATCTAATACAAAATCTTACATATATACGTTTTGGTATAATTTTGACACAGTTTTATATCAATTTCTTAAGACAGGAACATCAGATAGATGTCTTCTATGTCTCAATCAACTCCTGAGATTCTCAGGTTTCAGTCTACACCACCTTTCGTTTTTCCTTTACAGTCCCTTTAAGTTCAGTTGTTGAGTTTTTCTTCAAAAATTAAGTTCTATATTTTTTTTAAGTTTTGTTTTTTAGCTCCAAATTCCGGATTCTAAAATACATTATAGATTCTGGATTCTGGGATTTCAAAGTTTGGAGTCTGGATTTAAGATGATATTCTGTACTCTTAATTATTTTTCAATTCCATACTCCAAAAGTTTAAATTCCAGATTTAAAAACAAATGAAACTGATACTGGAACTTTAAGCTTACAATGCAAAGATCTGACAATACCAAATATATGACATATTGATTAGATTTTAGATTTTATTGCAGCAGAGAAATTTAGATTGAGAAGGTAAGTTGTAATTAATTTATAAACATGTTTGTTTCTTAATGTTAACCTTTGTCTGATTAAAACTGATGGCCAGCTATCCCTGTTCTTTTTGTCTCAAAAATGATTACTTCTATATTGGTTAATCAGATGTAGGACTATATATATCTATATTGTTTATCAGATGTAGGACTATATATATCTATATTGTTTATCAGATGTAGGACTATATATATCTATATTGTTTATCAGATGTAGGACTATATATATATCTATATTGTTAATCAGATGTAGGACTATATATATATCTATATTGTTTATCAGATGTAGGACTATATATATATCCATATTGTTAATCAGATGCAGGACTATGTATATATCTATATGGTTTATCAGATGTAGGACTATATATATATCTATATTGGTTAATCAGATGTAGGACTATATATATCTTTATTGTTAATCAGATGTAGGACTATATATATCTATATGGTTTATCCGATGTAGTACTATATATATATCTATATTGGTTTATCAGATGTAGGACTATATATATCTATATTGTTAATCAGATGTAGGACTATATATATCTATATGGTTTATCCGATGTAGTACTATATATATATCTATATTGGTTAATCAGATGTAGGACTATATATATCTATATTGGTTAATCAGATGTAGGACTATATATATCTATATTGGTTAATCAGATGTAGGACTATATATATCTATATTGTTTATCAGATATAGGACTATATATATCTATAATGTTTATCAGATGTAGGACTATATATATATCTATATTGTTAATCAGATGTAGGACTATATATATATCTATATGGTTTATCAGATGTAGGACTATATATATATCTATATGGTTTATCAGATGTAGGACTAAAAGGGTGCCGCCAACGTGAATGGGGTATATAATGCTTTAAATAATTACGCTAACAGTCCCTTTAGCTTGATTTAATTTGCAGATTTGCTTAGTTTTTATATAGGGTGTCCCACGAAACATAACAGTTTGTGAATAGTTTTGAATGGGTTCTTCCATATACTCTGTTATAGATATTAAAGACATTTGCAGTAAGAAACATAACAGTTGGTAAATAGTTTTGAATGTCTTCTTCCATATACTATGTTATAGATATTAAAGACTTTTGCAGTTTAATTAATTTAAAATTCGTTTACTCAAATATGTTATACTTTGAAATCAATTTTACTCTAAATGTAAATTTTTTATTATTCTCTTTGCTTTTTAACAACTTAGCGAGTTATGGAAGAAGACATTTTAAACTATTCACCAACTGTCATGTTTGTAGGACACTCTGTATCTCTGTTATAAACAGTATTTGGCTGTCAAGAGGATCGACAAGAACATGAAAATAATTTGCTTCTCTTACATTATGTAAAATCTTATCTTTGACAATGAAACCGATTGTTTTCTTTTACATTATGGTCTTGTTATTTAAAATTTAGCAGGATGTAAAGTAGAAAACTTCTTAAATATTCCCAGCTCTGGTGGTGCACCTTGCACCTTGCACGACCAAACAACTGTGATGGAAATAATTTAGGTTGGTTCGTTCTTAGATTGTATATTTACTATATTTTCATTCAGGGTAAAAATTTGGCATAATTAACCCTATTCCTGCTGGGGGGGGGGTCAATTTGACCCCCCCCCTGTAGTTTTTTTTACATAACTCAAAAAGTATTGGTCTGAGGCTATTGAAATTTTCTGACTTTTCCTACATACCCAAAGCCCTCCCTTTATACTTAAAACCGGGCTTTAATACTAACTGCCTGAGTCCTCAGGCACACTGCCTGAATGACTTCTTTTTCCTGTAACAAACTAAATCTTTGTTTTGACCCACTTTACCTTGTCAGATTTTGATAAAATTTAGCTTTTTGGAAAGCCTATGACATAAGGGAACGGATTACGGATTACGAAACGGATTGCGAAAAAAAATTGCAAATTTTTTGCAAACAAACCGTCAACGGAAATTTGCACATTTTTAGTTTTTCTTGATTAAAAATCAGGTTATTTAAAATTTTGCAAAACTTTTTGCACATTTAAAATGGCATGGTCAAGGGCTTTTAAAAAATGTATAATATATCATTTTTTGGACAATTTTTTTTTGTAAACATTTTTACTATATAACTAGATTTTGCAATAAAAAATTCAATTTTTGCAAATTTGCAATTTTTTTGCAGATTCTAAAAGTAGAGCACAAGAGCTTTCCAATGATGTATCATTTGTCATATTTGGACATTAAACATGGGATTTAGAGGGGGGGCCAAATTGACCCCCCCCCCCCAGCGTATCCTGGTTTTCAAGTACCCCAGCAGGGATAGGGTTAAGAGAAGCTCAATTTTAAAGAACTTTTAATTCTGAACATGTATTTTTCATGAATTCTGTCGAATTTTAACCCTGGCAGAAGAACCCTGAAAAAACGACCCGAAAATGGCGCAAAAAAAAATCTTTGTAACCAACGGGGTTTTTATTTTTCAGAAGTCACAAAATTGTTTATTCTCCGTGACCCATCGACCCTATATTTCCCCTACCAACCTCATACTATTAAGGTTGTTAATCAAATATTTTAACGATTTATACCAACATTTAACCACATTTAAATATTGCCCCCCCATAATTGATACCTATAACTTAATACATATATTACCTGTAATTTATTATAGGTTTGAAATACAGATTATTATATTTTTTACATTTATTACCTGTAATTTATTATATAGGTTTGAAATACAGATTATTATATTTTTTACATTTATTACCTGTAATTTATTATAGGTTTGAAATACAGATTTTGGAAAATTAGTGGAGAGAGAGGATATCGACCAGCTTTCGAGGACTATTGACCCATCACTGGGAATATCAACCTTAGATCAACCTTGAGGCCATTTCAAACTACCCAGATCCGAAGAACCAAGACCCTCAAACGGACACCATCGCATCTCTCCATCAGGAGACCCCATCCATAAAGATACCATCCCTGCGACCCCTCATCAGGAGTCTCAGAAACGTGCACCAGAAAATATCCAGGCCAACGCCAAGGATGCATGGTCTGTAGTACACCAATCACACACATTTGCAACCTGGACAAGGCACTAAACGGCAGCAATGCCAATCCGACCTCTCCAACCTCCATTGACCTCCCTCAACCTCCTGCCAACCACCCCATCCTGATCCTCAACAATGTGTTCCAAAATGCAATTCAAAAAAACAACATCCGTCACCTGACATACTTAACCAACCAATACTCACACCAAATGGGAAACAACAAAAAAATTTACCTACGACATCTCCGACCTCGAAGCCAACTATCTAACTGCCATGAACGCCCTGGATTCTCACACCGCCATGTCCAGTCCACCCCTCTATCCTCCTCCCCACCCAACGAACAAGTCCAACAAACCTCTGCCAGCTTCAGGCCTCCCGGGATCTCAACAGAAAGAAAACTGGAGTGGTCAGTATTACGACTTCTACCCCTGGCTGTCCTCCGTTCTTCCCTTCTAACACCATCACCTGGGTGGAACCACTCCTCTCCTCCTCCATCAACACCATCTTCATCTTCATCCATTCAGGATATCCAAGAACAAATCCTGCGATCACCACCTCCGCTGAAGACTTTACCCACTGCTCGAAGCCAACTGCGGAAGCTCACCAAGGAGAAGGAATCCTTAACATCATGAACAACACCACCGTGGACACCTCCAACAACCGAGTCTTTGTCAAATACCTCTACAAACCCAACCTTCTAGACCTCAAAGAGAATGATTACAGCGCCACCGAGAGAACTCATGCACTACATGTCAGGATGTCCAGCCATGTCTACCCAGTTCAACCGTGTCTCAATTGGTTTAACCACATCTACCCAGTTCAACCATTTCTCTAAGTGGTTGAATCCCGTCTACACAGTTCAACCATGTCTCAAAGTGGTTGAACCATGTCTATCCAGTTCAACCATGTCTCAAAGTGGTTGAATCCCGTCTACACAGTTCAACCATGTCTCACATATTCACTATGGGATGTTTCATTGAAAGTAATTTTCTAGTTAACAAAGTCATAGATAGAACATTTCATAGACAGTTTAAAGCAAAAATATGATTAATATATGAAGTAAAAATTAGAGATATCCTATAAATAACAGGGTGTAATTTATTAAATAAGATTACTTTGAATGAGAAAAATGTTCTTTGTCTATGAAATGGCCTGCCGATGAAATATTCTCTCTATGAAATGTCCTTTCTT